TAACGGAGACCGACGGAGCTGAGATACCGCTCCAGAAAGCGCAGCTGGACCTGAACCACCGTTAAAAACATGTACAGATGTGTGCTGGCTTTGGTTGGAGCCCGCAGCAGCAGCATGTACAGACCAGGGATGTTTGTACGGTCAGTGTAAAATAATGAGTTTAGAAATGAGTAGCATGTTTCAGATCAACTGGGGATCCGATCAACTGGCGTTATTCAGTCAGCGAGGCAGCTGTTCCAGCGGCAAGATAGGTTGTAGGTGACTGTGGAGACGCCTGTTCAAAAAACACAAACGTCTATAAACTCTTGCAAAATGTTCTTGCTGTCAGATTTAAAACTGGTTCCACTTATCGCTCGTGCTCTGTTGTGAGTCAAGGCTGTTCAGCCTCCAAGTAAAACACACGGTTTGAAGGGAGCTTCGCCCGGTTGAGTGGAAACATCGCTGAGCCGCGGTGGAGTCACAGTACGACCAGATTAACTTGTGATAGTATGTGGTGTCAGCCCGCTGCTGTTTATAAAGATTACAGCAAGAAAACAGGTGGATCTGAGTTGTTTTACTTTTAAACACATTTTAAGTGAAACAACATGATTTAAACCATCTCACCACATTTGGACGATTTCTCATTTCTGCCTTCACAACGTCGATACGATTTATCTGACATTTTCCCGTTTTTCTGAATTGATTCATTTTGCTGGGATATTGCAAGTCAATCAACATTGTATTCTATAGAATCAGTGCATTGTAAATATGATACACTAATTCTATAGAATATAAAACTAAAGGTACTGAGTTGTCATAACACTCAGAACACAAATAAAGACAGATAAGGATATCTCTGCTAATCAACCTTAATTAGCCCTCCCTTGTACTAGATGGTCAGCTGCTGTTTAAACCAAAAACACAATGTCACAAATCAAGACAACCAAAATAATAAAATAAGAATCAGTAAAGACAGATTAAATCAAATCATCTTGCTGCCTTGTTTGACACTAAGTGAAATATACTAAGCAGAAGGCCAGACATTTAAAACCCCAATTAATCCACGTAATTGTATCAAACATAGAAGTAACACATATTTCTCACATACTAATTTGCACAACCATGGTAACTACATACAGGTGAAGAAAATTAGCAGAGCTCTATATAAGGTTGATGAACCCATCACAACCTTGTGGGTTTATAGTGAGGAGACAGAGATTGAAAGACAGAGATTGAACAAAGAGCGAGAATATTAGTGTGATTGAAGCTTGTTTGTGACAGAGTAAGTGCTTGTTTGAAAGTGAGAGTGACTGGGTGAGGTGTGTGAGTTGTTTGTTCGAGAGCCTTGTGCTGTAGCTGTGTTTTTGTGATTGTGAGTGTTTTGTATGTCTGATCTGTAGTTTGTCTGTGCGTTATAAATCCTGTGTGTCTGTATCTGTGAAGTGTTTGTGGAGTTTAGGAGAAAACAGGTAAGTGCAGAATTAGTTGGGAGGTGGAAGAGTGGGTGAAGAAGTAGGTAAGGTAGTGGTAGTGGTAGTGGTAGTGGTAAGGGCCAGACAGGGACATGGACCCCAAAAAGTTGAAAGAGGTGCTAGATCTGAAACTGCACAACCGGTATCCTGAGGGGATCACCGGTAGACAGCGTTATGCTATCAAAAGAAGAGCTGACACATTTGTGATAAAGGGTAAGGTGTAGAATAGGCTTATGTAGTGTGTCAACTATGCTCTGTAAGTCTGTACTTTCATGGTACATGTGCTTTACATTCACCCACTAGATGGGGATCTGTACTACATCTGTAGGCGCCAACAAAAACAGGCTGAGCACCTTGCAAAAGTAGTTGCCACTGCCAAAGAGGCAAGTGACATATTTCGAGAATTTCACGAGAGTCATTTTGGTGGGCACTGTGGTTGGGAGAAGACTCACAGCGCCATCATCAGCCGGTACTACTGGCCAGGCATGGAGCGTGACATTCAAAAGTGGGTGAGTTGACATCATCTTAATGAGTCTTAAAATACACATACAAGTTTACTGTTGGTATACATGTAGAAAGGCTGTGTGAGGTTGTAATACTAACTAATGCTCTGCATGTGTAATGACTTCTTTTGCTTATCATTCTTGGTGTTCTTAAAGTTCTTCCAGTTTTCAGTATTTGAATTCATTTGCAGTAAAATGTTTAATTTGGAAGTGATATAAGGTAATTTGTCCTTAGATTGCTCAGTGTCCACCATGTCAACGGAAGCGGGCCAATATCAAAGAAAAAGTGCAGTACAATCCAATAGAGGTAAAGGAAATGGATGAATACTGTCAAGTTTGAACATACCAACAGTGATGTAATACACGTGCCTTTCTTTACTCAGGTTGCAGAGCCTCTGGAACTGGTGGGGATGGATCTTGTGGGTAAACTCACACAAACAGATGGTGGCAACCAGTACATATGTGTCATGGTTGATTACTTCACCAAATGGGCAGAGGTCTACCCACTAAAAAGTAAAACAGCAGATGAGGTCACTAATTGTATCCTTGATTGGTTTTACAAATTTGGTGCACCCAAAAGACTGCTAGCAGATCAGGGCTCAGAGTTTTGCAACAAGGTACAGTACTGATACATAATGAATGCTAAAAATATAAATATGACTGACTAATTTGTTTTTCTATACTTTTAAAGGTAAACTATGGCTTGTGTGAAACACTGGGTATCCAGAGAAGCCTCTGCTCACCATATCATCCACAGACAAATGGTCTAGTGGAGAAGTTAAATGGCACAATCCAAAGGTAAACTGTTTCAGCTGTTACATCTTTTAACTTTGTAGAAATAACAATCTGCAAATATTCTGCCTTAATTACCCAAATTCTATCCTACCTGCTCTTGTCTGTCCTTATATTACATTTTCAGGTCTCTAAATAAACTGGTGGGAGAACACCCAACAAATTGGGACCGTTTCCTGCAGTCCACTATGTTTGGTCTGCGGACCAAAAAACAGTTAACGACAAAACATAGTCCCTATTATTTGATGTTCGGGAGGGAGGCAAGGTATCCATCACAGGTGCCAAAGGAATATAAAGTAAGAGCCTTAATATTCTTTTGTGAAAATGTTTAGATCAAGCTGCAGGTATTCAATGTCTTTTCTGCTCTGCTTTACAGGTTACAGACGATCACATCACAGAGTTGCTGCAGCAAGAAGACATATGTGATGGCCTAAAACAGCAGCAAGCAACCTACGAACAGGTTGCACAAAATGTTAGAAAAAGCCAGGACAAAGTCCGCAGGAGGAAGATGGCCAAAGGAACTGAGGACGAATTCAGGACAGGCGATCTTGTCCTTCAGAAAAATGTGGTCCAAGAGCGACGAAAAGCAAAGATGGACCCTGACATGATTGGCCCTTTTAAAATTATAAAGTTGGAGGGGAAAAGTGCAGATCTGTTTTCAGAAAAGGGAAAACAAAGAGTCAAAATAAATATAGATCACTTGACTCACTATTTTCAGCCAGAGGAGAGGGTGCCTTCAAAATTGAAGAACAACTTAGAACCCTCTCCTCTGACTGGCCCCTCTTCAGCAGTGGAGCCACTGTCAATGTCTGGGACAACAAGAAGCCAGCCAGACATTGACAATGGCTCCACTGCTGAAGAGGGGCCATTGTCAATGTCTGGAACAACAAGAAGCCAGGCCCCAGATCCCCACAAAGATCCAGAACGCTGTAAGTACACTGACAAATTGTACCTTAAAACATTGATTTTCCAGATAGTTGACACTTGTCTTTACAGTAATCCAAGCATTATGGAGTGGGAAATACAAAAACACCCTCTGGGCCAAAATGGGGCCATACAAACTGTATTCAGAAAATTTTACAGACTTGGCCCCAGGGAATGAACTTGAGAGTGAGGTATGTTAATGTTGTCATGATTTTCTGAATAGTGGGAGAAAAATGGATGAAGTAACTTCTGTATTCATAGGTGGTCAATGCCTATCTGAGCATGGTGGGCAGAAGAAGCGGTGCCCTCATTCTGGACACCTACCTGATGACGTCAGCATGGCAGGGATCTTTCAAAGGTTTTAGAAAGGTGAGTTAAAATGCTGAGAAATGTCAGCATTACCACATTGAAATGCTTAAGCTTTGTATGTGGTATTGTCTCGTAGGTAAATCTATTACAATATGATGTGGCAGCTGGAGCAGTATGTGACAAGGCACACTGGACACTAATTGTAAGTAATCACAACATATGTTGACACAACCATAAGATCTTTATGTCATGAAATGTAATTGTATTTTTGAAGATAATGTATCTAAAGGAGATGAGAGCGGTCTACCTGGATCCGTTTGGGGCAACAGAGGAACAGGTCAAGAAATGTCAAGCTGTAACAAGGTGAATGGCTCAACATGAAACACTGTTTGCATTTGATAAAATACATGCCTGCATGGAAATTTTGATGGTATCTGAGGAGCAAGACGACAGTCTTTGTTTATTCCATAGGACTATTTTTAACATTTATTGCATTAAAAAAAAAAAGAACAAACTTGTATTAACTTTTCCCTCTGAAGTCCATGCCCAGCTGCTGATTAGAAATGGCCTTAATGGGTCTGGCATTAAAGTTGGCTCATTGTTTTTCTGGTGTGTGTAGAGCACTGGTCCGCACCAAACATCCAACCATTACAAAGTGGACCTGTTCAACGGTGCCCCATCCCAAACAACAGGATTCTAAATCCTGTGGTGTCTTTGTGTGCAAGGTAAGTGTGTGATTATGTGTACACAAAGCAGAATAAGTAATCCCAATTATGTTTAACATAGATGTCTTAGCTTGCAGAACAAATGTTACTCGTACAAGACATCAACTATCCTGTGGACCAGGAGGGGGTGGCCAGGCTGAGGCTAGACCTGGCAGTAACATTGTTAAAAAACTCAGGTAAACTTGTGGCAGTAGATGACTGTATTTGCATTTAAGTACCTTGCATGTTTAATCTTATAATCTGTTTCACGCCCCCCCTTTTTTTTTTTTTTTCTCACAGATGACCTATCTGACATGTGCAAGGCCTGTGGAGAGGCCAGCTCAGGAGCAGAAGTGGATGAGTGGGTATGAACATTCTGATCCACAGCTCAGACAAACACAGATCTGCAAAATTTGACCATTTTAAACATATTTACATTTATTTTGTCATCGTCACTATAATTAACATTTTGAGCATGAATGAGTGACATGAATGTGACAGATGCCTGTTCTAATGTTAACTTTAACATCTCCTTTCAGATTGAGTGTACCACCTGTGGTAGGTGGTACCATATGTCTTGCGTGGGGCATCCATCCACAGATGGTGATTTTTTTTGTAATGGTTGCAAATAAATGACTGGTACATGAAGGAATTGTCTGTCTTCAGTGACGTGTCAGTTTTAAGTAGCACAACATGACAAACCTCTGTAGCTGGTTTGAACATGAATGTCACATGATTTTTTATTTTTTTCCCCCCAAACTTCTGCCTTCAAATTAAGTACTCTGTAAACTGCTACTGGCCATTGTTCCAGTTTAATTGGTGATGTTTGCTGTATTTATGCTCCAAATATTCAATTTGCAGATTCGTCCCAACCACATGCTGATAGTCACAACTTAACACAGACACACGCTGCCTGTTTAATATCGACACAACATATTGTCTGAGGAAGCAAAACCCAGAATATAGAAGCAAGTGGTGTTTGTTTTTCTGTGCATTCAGTGTCAGAGATCCAGAGCAGAACCTGAAGCTTAACTCTGGTTTGTTCACTGAAACACACAGCAGCCTGCCACCACCACAACACACATTGGTTTGGTTTCATAATATGCATCAGAACAAACCGAGGCCATGTTGTCAGAAGTACTCACTCAGAGCAGGCATGCTATCAAACTGTGAATCATTTCTTACAAAATACAATAACAATTCACTAACTTGTTTCTCATTCCTACTCAACCACCTGCAAAACATTGGATATCTTCAGCACACAGTTTATACATGTGGAGGTCAGATTGTGGCTGGAGAGTGAACTGTATGTTTGACAGTATTAGATTTAGTGACATGCTCCTAGTCCTCCTTGGTCTACATTGAAATATGGCAGCAGGATCTCCTCAGTGTCAAACAGGAGTATGTATGGCTGAAACCACAGCCGCAAATAGGTGGCTGAAATACATGACTATCCAGTAGGTGCCTGTAGCTCGTTGTGCAAAGCCTATAAAACGAATATTATGGCTTTTTGATGGAAGTTCCAGTCCATTGTCTTCTTTAAAAACAAATGTTTGCGATTATCATCGTTTGAAATTACAGTCTACTACGTGGAGGACTCGACGTGTTTGTAGTGTTTTCTCAGTGAGTTGTTCTGACAACGTGGCCTCAGTTTGTTCTGATGATTCTATCGAACCAAACGAATGTTGTGCTGTGTGTGTTTCGGTGAACAAACCTGAGTTAAGCGTGAAGTTCTGCTCCGTATCTCTGGATGTTAAGTTGTGACCGTCGCCAGTTGATCTGGGCGTGTTTCCTGAGTAATCACCAGGTGTTAAACATCTGGCTAAATGGAAACGATCTCTATGAATGAGATGAGTCAGAACGGAAATTTAGCACAACCGAGCTGATCAGTGGCACAGTGCGTAATGCACGGGTTTCGCATTTTTTATCTGGACGACGTGGTTTCGAATCCTCCCACCGGACATGAAAAATACATGTTTTTATTTTGCTATTTTGGTCAGCATGTTTGATTTTGATGTCTGTAGATGATACTGACATGGATATCGGCTTTATTAACGTTTACTTTTGTTGGCGAGGTCTTCATGTCTTTATATCCTTATCTTCACACACACACACAGGTCTGATTGTGACGAATTTGCAAGCGGGTCATCTGGAGGGTAAATACAGCAAACATCGTCAGTTAACCTGGAACACTTTTCTGTTGTGTGAAACAATGATGTTTGTGAATTTAAATAAGCCAGTGTAGCGCAATGTGATCTAAATCTGCCAATATCATATCAATGTATTGATGTTATACTGAACACTCTGTTTATTAACCTTCATGTCAGAATAACGTACACACTGTGTTGGTCTCCTGTCTCTGTTGCTTTTCTACTAACATGTTTTAATAGTGATCAATGAGCGACCACAGCTCCAGCGGTTCCGACTGCACTCGCGTAGTTTCTTTCATCGAGCCCGACAGCGGCCTGACTTTTAGAATGAGAAGGCTCTTGTTTCCAGATATATTTGTCAAGACCGAAAAGAAAAATACAGCAGAAATCTCATTTTACGTGACTAACTTGTCAGATTGTTTATTTCCTGGTTAGTTGGTAAGGGGTCCTGAAAAGCCACGCCTACGAAACATCTGTCTCAGAAACGCTAGGAACGCCAGTTGATCGGATCGCCAGTTGATCTGAAACAAGCACAGCCCTCTGAGAGCAGCTCGTTCCCACCATGTTAAAGTCCTGCTTCATTTATCTACACTGTTAGCTTGATGGAGAATCTCTACATAGCTTTAGCATTGAGTTAGCATTGATATCGTTAATAACGAGCTGACGGAGTGATGAACGCTCGTCCTGGACTCTCAAATGGTTTCTACATTTACGTAGTTTCTGCACTTCCTTCCTGGCTTTGAGCTGCTAGCTAATGCTATGCTAGGTTGGCGTAACTACAGCCATGCTATTGCTAACATGAACACACAGGGAGTAGCTTAAGCTGGGTTTCTAGGTTTTCATGGAGCTTTTCAAATTTCCACTTGAATTATGTTGAAATCAGATTTATATGAAGCCTATCATAATATTTTGGCTGGAAATGAGACAAATTCATCTTGTAAGGTATGAGTTGCCTTGATAGGTTAGCCTGGCTATTGCAATTACAGTTTTTAGATTTCCAATCAGAGGCACTTAAGCTGAAACTCTGGGGTGTAGTTGCCCTTTAAATAAACAAACAAACAAAAAGCCACTCAGTTATAGTAAGGTACGTAAATGTCACGCGTTGCCTTTCACCCTTGTTAATTGTGACTTTTTTAGTGTTTCTCGGTGCCTCCATGTGCGTCTCTGTTCCTACGAACTTCATCTGCTGCTTCTATGGCACTTAGTTCTTTTTTGCATTTCACCTGAAGGGAAAGGGGAACCACTGCATGTGCTTTGGATCAATTATGCAATAAATAAATGTGTGTAAAGCTTACAGTTGTTTCCTTGGCCTGTTGTTTGCAGGTGCTTCTTGGGCAGTAACCCCCAGACGGGCTGGAAGGGGCAGAAGCGCGGCGCTCTGGGCCCCGGCGTGAGCACTCTGCTACGGAAACTTGTGGACTTTGAGTGGCTGGCAATGCCGACGTGCAAGAATCTGAGTTGGACTGTTTTTCAGTGTTTTACAGATTGAGGACACCTCCAAGGTACTTATTTCTGTTTTTTCATGCTCATGTTTTGAACTGTTCAGTAAAGGTTAAAATGGCTGTTGTCTTTGTTCTGGTTTTTATTGAGCAGACCCAAAGCATGTTTGTAAAAGCAGAAAACAGAAAAATCACGCTTAACAAGTCAAATGTACAATATGTGACAGTGT